GGGGTCCTTATAAGAAAATAGCCACGTGAAGACAGAGATACAAAGAGACACAATATGACGATGAAGGCAGACATTGATAATTATGCAGCTCCAAGCGAAGGAAAAAGATGACCAGCAAACCACCCAAAGTTAGGAAGAAGCAAGGAAGAATTCCCATACATGGGCCAGAGGGGCAGGGGCCTGCCTTTGGACTTCTAGTCTCAAGAACTCTGAATCAATAAATTTCTGTTGTTTTAAAATGAAATGAGCTATCAAGCCACGGAAAGACATGGAGGGACCTTAAATGCATAATACTAAGTGAAATAAGCCAATTTGAAAATGCTACCTACTGTATAATTCCAACTATATGACATTCTGGAAAAGACAAAACTATGGAGACAGTAAATATATCAGTGGTTTCCAGGTGTTACGGAGGAGGGAGGGAGGAAGAGGTGGAGCACAGGATTTTTAGAGACGTGAAACTATTCTATATGCTACTATAGTGGTGGGTACATGTCATTACACATTTGTCCAAACCCATAGAATGTACGACACCAAAAGTGAAATGTAAGTCATGGATTTTGGGGGATGATGTGTCAATGGAGGCTCACTGATGTAACACACGTACCATTCTAATGTTGATACTGGGGGAGGCCGAACATGTGTGTGAGCAGGGCACATAAGGGAACTCTATGTACTTTGTGCTCTGTTTTGTTGTCAACATTAAACTGCTCTAAAATAAAAAGCCTGAAAAAAAAAAGTTTCTGCTATGCCAGGACTGGGTGACTAAGTCTAAAAATGTAAGGACGATGCTAAGGGCCTATGTTTACAAGAACAACAACAAAAAAGCATCTGACAGCTGATCTGATACAATGAGTTGTGCCCTGCTTCTGGCTAAGGCAAACCAGATTGTATCAGACCAATATCTTGCCAAGAACAACTAGAAAAAGGTGAATACAATTTCTAAAATGTTGCCAAGGCAGTGAGGACCTGAGGGACCAAGATCCCAGAGAGAGGGGAAGTCCATAAGCTCAGTACTTGCAAGAGCCACTTTTTCCTTCTAGGCATTCATCCATTTGCATGCAGTGGCTGGGAAGCGCAGCAGCCACGCACAAGTTAAGAGGCTGAGAAAGTACACAGAGTCTTATGCATTCTCATGAGCCTGGGAGACGAAAGTTAGAGTTGAAGACCAGCCGTGAAGAAGGGCCCTGGTAACCACCACAGAATTTCAGTTGAGACCCTAAAGAGCTCTACTCAGTGGTATGTGGGATCCAGCATTATAGCAGCTCACAGGAGCTGACTGCATGTATCTCTTCCCAATTCCATGTTCAGTGATGTCAAATTGGTAGTTTGAATCCTGCAACAGTGGATGTATTTACACTATGGAAATAGGCAAACGTTACAACTCAGAACACTTCCCACTGAGAGTCAATTGTTAAACACCAGCACACACAGGCTGCACTTAAAAAGGCAAATGGGAAATAAAACAATCCTCAGAAAGACTGAAAAACAATTTCAAAAAATCAACAAGGGTCATCAATGAATAGAAATGATTGGATACATAGAAAGGAAGATGAATGGTCAAAGAGAAAAAAAACAAACAAAGACAAAACCAACCAACCAATATTAGATCCAGATATTGGAGAATTCAGAATGGATTTTAAGATAATTGAGTAATATGTTAAAAAAATGCAAAAGAAAATATAAGGAATTTCACTAAAACACTGTGATCTAAGAAAAATAATCAAATTATAATTCTAGAAGTAAAAAATAAACTAAAATTAGAAATTCCATAGATGCGTTTGACATCAGATTAAAAACAGACGAAGAAAGGATCAGTGAACTAAAACAGCACTTCACAAATTTTAATGTATACACAAGTCATTTGGAGATACAGAGTAGGATTGAATAAATTGGGATTTATAGGCAATGGAACATTCTATATATAGCAATGAAAATAGATGAGCTACAGCTACTTGCAAAAGCAGACTAGTCTCACCGATATAAAGCTTAAAAAAAAGCCAAACATTTAAACACCCATGAATTCTTTCATTTATATCGAACTTAAAAAACAGGTCAAACTAATGTATGGTGTTAGAATAAAGTCTAACGAATTCTGCTGGGGAGTGGGACCTGATGGGAACCTCTGGGCTACTGGTAACGTTCTACTTCTTGATCTGATTGGTGATAACACAGAAGTATTCACTTTATGAAAATATACAGCTGTTCACTTTTCC